AGTGTCAGCATCACCATATCCATCATGTACTATGGGGCTTAGTGGGGGTGCTAGACAGGTAGCTTTCAAAACCTTGGGTCCTAGTGGCTGGGCTTCCCTCTACCTCTACTCATCCCCCTACCTTCCCTCTACACTTACACGTTTTTCTAATGGGGATTGGGTAGTGGGATTCTCATAACTCTCAGAACTGCTACTTCCCTGAGGCTATGAAACAGGAACAGCAGCTAGGAACAGGATCAATACCTTTGTAACTGCAAATAAAACTTTTTTATAGACATAATCTATGTGGCGCCACTTGAAATTATAATAAGAGCCAAACTGGTAAGATATAAGTATGAATACTTGGTCTATTATGTATGTAACAAACAACCAAACATGTGCTCAAGGCTCATTTTACTTTGCCTAGGAATCAGAGTTATGCCTAAAACACCATAAATTTTCGACAACAATATAAATAAATACCATTTATATTTGTCAATTTCAGTATGGAAGGATTATTTCAACACAAAAAATGCAACATGAGGACATACTCGGTCGTACTAGTGAAGCTATACTAAATGCAAATATGGAATGTCTAGAAATGACAAAACACTTGCCTTGAAACTCATGGACACAACTCCCAATACCAGGTTGAGATACTTGTCTTTGTACGAAGACATTCCGTCATTACTAGCACTATCAGTTTAGAAAATAAGGCCAAGAACGTCTTGAGGATGTGATTCAAAGTTTCAAACAATACAATTACAACAATACATTACAACGCTTGTGCGCGATAATCAGGAAAATTGCTCTAAAAGGTTTCATTTTCTGCCTAAGCCAATCAAAATCCGTATCTATGGTAAACAAACACTCCGGAAGTGATTTCTGCAGTCTTTTACCAGGAAACTGTAATGCTTTACCAAGAATTTGGTGTCCGAAGTTGGCCGAACACTTTCCGACCATGAGAATCGCCATAATAGGCATAGATTATTTTGCAATTTCCGGAGACTGCTCCGAGCTATAGAATACAAGATGGCGATTCTTTTGGTATATTTGTCTTTATTATACATTGAAAAGAAGCAAGGGTACAAGTATTTGAATCAGGCGGAACATTCAAAATGCAACAGCAAAATTGGTAATGCGTCCTTTGCATAAATTTCACCGCATTGATCATTTCAAGGTAAGAAATTTGTGTGAAATTGAGCGAGAAACAATAAAATTGTACGAATATTTCGGAATATATAGTATCGATCAAGCGGAATTTTTTGGTGGTATTTTCGTATTTCTACTGCAAATACTCATGGAGTTCTTTCATATAATCTTCCCGTTATATACGTCGGAAATCAATATTGGCGGATGGAATTGAGTTAACTGTACTGGTGCAAAACATCATGCATCAGACTGCAAAAGTACCTTAAATAGTCAACCTTGTAACCAGAAACATCACACATCTATTTGCATGAAAGAACAACAGCCATTACTTACCGCCACCAAAAGTAGTGATATACTGTTAGCTTACCCAGTAGCTGTTGTGAATGTTGAAGGTGTGAAATGTGTGTGTGTGATTCTAGACACAGGCACAGGAAGTTCTTACGCTTCTGCCGCACTTTTAAACCGTTTAACAAATCACAAACATCACAAAGAGATATGTAGAGTGGAAATGATGCTTGGAGCAGTTACTCGGGAAATGGAACTGTCCACTGTTAATGTTTTAGACTTAGTAGACGATAAATTTAAACTGAATGTGAGTGTGATGAAAGTGGATATGTCCGAACTTTTGAACGTTGATAACCCACACTACCAACAACTAATTGCCAAGTATCACATCTTGAAGGCATGACCATGGATGACAAGGACGAAAAGCCCAAGCTTCCAATCCATCTCATTCTCAGAGCAAGCGACTATCTGTGCATGAAAACTGACCAGCCATCTTGTGTAGGCAAAACCGCGGAACCTGTCACAGAAAAGACAAAGTTTGGATGGACAATCATCGTGAAAGGAACAGAGATAGACTATACCGTGTTACTAATTGCCCAATCCAACCAAACCGATTATGTACAACTTTGTCGTCTCGACATGCTGGGCCTGGAAGATCATCCAGAACATGACCAAGCAAGTGTGTACATAGAGTTTAGAGAGCAACTCCTGAGGAATAACGAGAAAGGTAGCTTACGATGACTGAACAACCTCACAAGCAACTTATTTATCAACTGCAGAATACTAAGCTGCATGGTTATACAACCTGTGGCTGTACTAAATCCAACGAGAACCCTGAATGTTTTGGCCTTAATTATACTCAGACAAATAATGTCTGATTACAAGCCTCAATGGTAATTTACATAGCACCATTTACCTGTGTTGGTCATGTGTGGCTGATTTAACAGGTGATGAACATGGAACTGAACCGAACATCTCACTGATATGTATTGCAACACCACATGGCCATTGCATAACAAGATATATATATATATATATATAGTTTTTCGTTTTACCTCAAAAAACCACAACAGTCTGTTTCATCCGTATAGGAATCATCAGGTGGTGAATAATTTCGAAATTGTAGGTTGCTTTTATGCTATCGAAAGAATGTGCGGAATGCATGTAGGTGAAACAATGCATAGGTGAAACAATGCATGCTTGGGTCATTAGGTTTTCTTAACGACCTTGTTTACTTGAAACCGGTTTTTGTGACGACATTTGCCAAAAATTTCGCTTCTTCTATTGAGTAAATTGTCTTTGTTTATGTCGTTCAAAATGCAAAATTTTTCTTCCAAACATAAATTGCAGCGTTTTGATCCCCCTGTGTACGAAATAGCATGTTTTAAAATTGACCATTTGATGGTATAATCCTGATTGTTTTCTTTTAATTTCCAAATATGCTTCGAAAGTTCCGTTTTGTTTGAGTCTTTTTTATGATGAAAAGATGAAGTGTGGCTAGCATAACGTTCCTTAAATGTAGTCGCTGTCATACCAATGTAGTGTTTAGTGTCATTCGTGTTGTTCGTCGTGACTGTGGCTTTGTAAATAATGTTGTTGGTCATACATTGTTTCGGTAGTGGGCAAGTGTTTTTGTTGTCGCAGTTACAGTTGTCAGTTTCCGTATTCTGTGATTGACTGTTCCTAATTATATGTGCGTTGTGTTTGGTGATTATAGACTTAACGTTATTCATGCAACTGTAGCTTACTTTTAAAGTGTTTCTGTTAAAAAATATTGTGTAGTTTGTGCTGTAGTGGGAAGTGTTTGTCAATTAAACTGTTAATTTGGGTTGAACCAAATTATGTTGCGTTGCCTATTCCTACGTGTCCGTTGCGGTGCATCCTGAGTGTACGTAAATTCATGATCAAAGTTACTATGTCTAAGAGCGTTCTGGTAAATAGGTGTAGATTCCTTAAATGTTTGTTCGTCCGATGAGAGAAGTGCAATGCGTTTCTTGATAGCTGTAGGTAATTGTCTTGTAATGCTTGGTGGATGGTTTGAGTGTCTGTTGATGTACAATGGATCGTCATTGGGTTTCCTGTATGGTTTGTGTTACCTTAGAACTACCCAACCAAAACCAATTACCCTTCTTAGACACAATGGTTTCCTTTAATCCGGAGAGTAAAACTGTTTCCACCAAGCTTTACATTAAGCATATACACAGTCATTGTATCACACCCTGGGACAGTCACGGTCCCATCGCTGCTAAGCGCACCATTCTCATTGGCGAAACCAAGCGGGCAGTTACATGTTCAACCGATTCCACTTCACGTAGAGAATCATTGCGTCAACTTACAGATCTTTTTGTTAATAACGGGTATCCTAAGAAATTTGTTAAAACCACAATTAGAAACACCTTAAATAACAAATCAACTAAAGAGGATGAAATTAAATATACCTATTTAAAGCTTCCCTTCATTAATGAAGAATTTAAATGACCATGCCCTTGCAGTGGTAAAACGATCAGGAATAGACAATGTCAGAATTCACTTTATGAACAGAAAATCGTCACGTAGAGTATTTGCTCCATCCAGAGAATGGACACATTGCCCTAATGCTTGTGAAACATGTAAATGTACCAATAAAGTCGATAGATGTCTCAACAAGAATGTAGTTTATAAAATTAAGTGCTCATACTGCGAGGCATTATATATAGGAGAAATGGGTAGGACAATAGGAACACACATCAAAGAACACACATCAAAGAACACCTGACGATGAAACAGCAAACAGTATATAAACATTTGATGTCCCACAAGAGAAAAAATCAGACACCTGGAAATAAAGACATTGAATGGAGGATAATATATGGAAACCTTCGTAAATGCATTGATGCATGGAAATACAGAAGCATACAGGCGATTTAATGAATGGTTGTACTGGTAGAACAATAACTATCTAACAATTGGGATCATAATTATGAATATTTTTAACATTTTTATCACCAACTGTATATACGTTTAGAATTCAAACAATTAGACTGATTTAGATTTTTAACATTTTTTACTACTAACTCTTTAGACTTTTAAATTCAAACAATTAAACTCATTCACTCACCATACTTAATTATATACAATTCTAATTAGGACAACATGTATAAAAGACGCCTTAATATTGTTGTAAATTTTTCACCAACTGAAGAAGCCTTAACCGGGGGAACATCCGGGTTATAGTCATTATACCTTTTTATGCCTGAGGAAGTTCTTGTTTTATTTTAAGATAAGTGATGATGACCTAAATATGTATAAAAGTGTTGGCTGCCAAGATGCAAAGTTAATAGGATTTGCGGCGTAAAGATTAGTTTTGGGCGAGTCTATTTCCCGAAAGGTGTATGAAAATTAGATTAGGCCTGTTTCAAACGTTGCGCTTTGCATATGCCGATTGCCGAACTCATTAGAAATAATAGATATAAAGCATTTCAGCTGATTATCTATTGTTTTTAATGTGTTTGGCACATGAGAAGCGCGACGTTTCAAACAGGCCCTAAAAATGTTAAATATAATTTGTGATATGTTGCAAAGATTAGCATATTTTGCAGGCGATCACATGAACGTTGAAGACTTGAAGTGGTTAGCGCACTTGCCTTTCACCTCTAAGGCCGCAGGTTCAAGCCTCAGTGGTTCAAGCCTCAATACGACTCGAACCCAGTCCTCATGTGAAAAGAGTAAAAGTCAATGCTCTGCCGAAAGTCATGGGTTTTGTCAGGGTACTCCGGTTTCCTGGCTCCTGCCACAGGGAAAGTTGAAGGGCTGCATGGATTAGGTAAAGGGCCCACAGTAATTGGCATATGCTGTTGGCAAAGCTGAATTAATAAATAAATAGGGAGATTGCTAAGCATCATGGGGAGAGCCTAAGCACAAAAGCAAAGATAGCCAGTATAACTACATAATCATGCAACAATGATTACTAATGTCAACCTTTCTTGTTTCCACACTTTAATTAAACTATCACTGGCATTTTAAGGCAATAAATCTCGTAGCATTATAAATGTTGGGAATTGTATTTCAGTGTATTATATTTGATATTTTGTTCAACAGCAATTGGCAAAACTGGTAGTATTAAAGTTGGGAATTGTATTTCTATCCATCCATGTATTATATTTAATATTTTGTTAAAACATGTTACTGAAATCACAGTCGTTTCAATCTTTCATGCATGAAATATTGAAATAAATAATATTGAAATGGTTGCCGGAATGGTTTTTGCACATGCTCTAAAAATAGCAGATGCATGGGTGCATGCATATAAACAAAACATTTATATACACACAGGGATTGCTATAACTTACACTAAGGTCATTAGAGAAGAATTACAGAATATTCAGGTCAAATCAAATTGAAGTTTGTAATAATGATCAAAGTTCTTTAATTAAGAAACACTTTATTAACTAAATATATATTGAAATAATACGCACTGAAAATATAATGTTCAATGCGTATTATGTAATTTTCTTATCATGACCTTTTGCTTTACTTTAGCCTGAAAAGCTAGCTTTACTTATAACTACTCACTGCATGGTCATGGGACTGCTGTTAATTACCTTATAGATATACAACATTATATAGGCCGTATATACTTTAATGCATTGTCATTTGCCCACTAATTGGCACTAATGTAAGTGTATCAATAAATTTACTCTGTGCATTGTCTTTTACTTGCTGTGTAGTCTTTCTGTCTTTTGTGGAATTCTTGCATATGTTTCTCGCTATAAAAACAGAGACAAGGTAGTATTTGAGTAACGATAAATTAGAACTCATAATTTGCATCTAATCAGCTTTATTTGTTAATGGTGATCAAGAAATCATGAAGCTTAGGTTTATTGATATCTGTCTATCTATCTTCCAATGCTTTAGTAGGCTAAATGCATATCCACCTTGAAAATATGTGGCTGAAAAAAAGAAATTCTGCCTTACTGGAACTAAATATGTTTAAAATGCATGGCCATGCACAGGGATGCCGGAACTAGGGGGGCAGGAGGGGCAGCCGCCCCCGTTGCCCTTTGCCAGGAGGGGCAAGGGGGGCAAAGGTGCCCTTTCAATTTAAAGGATTGCCTTGGCGAAATAGCGAATTGTCAGAAGTGTTAGTGCAAATCTTTTACGAATTTGCTTCAGAAAACGCAAGAAATGCAGTCATCGAGCTTCAAGAATAGCACAATCGCCTGGCGGAGAACTCCCTCACACCCCTATCATCCAATAAATAGAAAACATGATTAGGCGAGGTTCAACTCCCGATGTTTTGCAAACATCTCTTAGTATATATCAATTCAAAAGTGCCTTTTCACGAAAATCTGCCCCCCTTGCCTTCACATCGTTCCGGCGTCGCTGGCCATGCAATACAGTTACTACATAATTTTATTTTGAAATCCATCTTTCACCCATTTGACATAATTTTGAAAATTTCGATTACTTTGTTTTCCGGATTGCTTATTTATATGCTTTGTAGCTAAAACATTAAATGTCAGTTTATTTTGGATGCCATTGGCATTGCAATATCTATTTGATCCGGGTAATGTACCAAATGATTTGCCTGTCCAAGCTAAAGTAGCAACTTGACCACACTTCTGTCATAAATGTTATCCATGTTTCGTGTTTAGGAAGAAGATTGCGCATAATCGTAATTATACTTGAATTACTCTGAGTATGAACAAGTTTTTTTTTCAAAAACACTTTTTTAGCTCTTGAATGGCATGTTTTTCATGCCA